CTCAAGTACAAGATCTGAATACTTCTTTCTACTTTTAACTCAAGTACAAGATCTGAGTAACTTCTACTTTTACTCAAGTACAAGATCTGAGTACGTCTACTTTAATCATGTCAAGATCTGAGTACTTCTACTTTTACTCAAGAATCTGAAGTACTTCTACTTTGACTACTTCGAAGTACTAAGATCTGAGTACTTCTACTTTTACTCGAAGTACTAGATCTGAGTACTTCTACTTTACTCGAAGTACTGAATCTGAGTACTTCTACTTTTACTCGAGTACTAGATCTGAGTACTTCTACTTTTACTCAAGTACTAGATCTGAGTACTTCTACTTTTACTCGAGTACAAGATCTGAGTACTTCTACTTTTACTCGAGTACTAGATCTGAGTACTTCTACTTTTACTCAAGTACTAGATCTGAGTACTTCTACTTTTACTCGAGTACAAGATCTGAGTACTTCTACTTTTACTCGAGTATAGATCTGAGTACTTCTACTTTTACTCAGTACTAGATCGAGTAATTCTACTTTTACTCAAGTACTAGATCTGAGTACTTCTACTTTTACTCGAGTACTAGATCTGAGTACTTCTACTTTTACTCGAGTACTAGATCTGAGTACTTCTACTTTTACTCGAGTACTAGATCTGAGTACTTCTACTTTTACTCAAGTACTAGATCTGAGTACTTCTACTTTTACTCAAGTACTAGATCTGAGTAATTCTACTTTTACTCGAGTACTAGATCTGAGTACTTCTACTTTTACTCGAGTACTAGATCTGAGTACTTCTACTTTTACTCAAGTACAAGATCTGAGTACTTCTACTTTTACTCAAGTACTAGACCTGAGTACTTCTACTTTTACTCAAGTACTAGATCTGAGTACTTCTACTTTTACTCAAGTACTAGATCTGAGTACTTCTACTTTTACTCAAGTACTAGATCTGAGTAAGTTCTACTTTTACTCAGTACAGATCTGAGTACTTCTCTACTTTACTCAAGTACAGATCTGAGTACTTCTACTTTTACTCAAGTACTAAGATCTGAGTACTTCTACTTTTACTCAAGTACAATCTGAGTACTTCTACTTTTACTCAGTACAGATCTGAGTACTTCTACTTTTACTCAAGTACAAGATCTGAGTACTTCTACTTTTACTCAAGTACAGATCTGAGTACTTCTACTTTTACTCAAGTACAGATCTGAGTACTTCTACTTTTACTCAAGTACAGATCTGAGTAATTCTACTTTTACTCAAGTACTAGATCTGAGTACTTCTACTTTTACTCAAGTACAAGATCAGAGTACTTCTACTTTTACTCGAGTACTAGATCTGAGTACTTCTACTTTTACTCAAGTACAAGATCTGAGTACTTCTACTTTTACTCAAGTACTAGACCTGAGTACTTCTACTTTTACTCAAGTACTAGATCTGAGTACTTCTACTTTTACTCGAGTACTAGATCTGAGTACTTCTTCCACCTCTGCATTTACTCAAGTACAAGAACTGAGTAAAGTAAAAAAAGTAAAGTGACATTTTGAAGTACTTATACTGTAATATTTTCAAGTTATGCTACTTTCAGTAAAAGGCTTTTTGACACAGGGATTTGAGCCTTTGCAGACCATTGACATGCACTAAAACCTATAGAACAAACTACAAAAAGCAGATTAGGGACCCTTTACGTGCAGTATATGAGTATTTTCAGGTAATGTACTCGAGTAAAAGTACTTCCCCCTCTGACTTGGTGTTGACTCTTGCAGTATAAGTTGTACGCTGCACTTTCTCTGCAGTATGAACATGAGGCTGACAGCCTTCAGAGAGCTGATGGCTTTTATCTAATACTTTATGATTATCCTCATCGTCTGAATAATTGATAAAGTGTTCAGGTCCAGAGGAAGCTGCAGCATCAGTTCAGAGGCCGACACACAGGTTTTATTATCTGCAGTGTGAAAATATATATATTTGTGAGACAGAAGTGTATTTTTATGAGAGTGGAGGTTTTTTAGGGAAAGTGAAGGGAGATAAAGAGAAATCAAAACAAAGAGTGCCGAGCTGTCAGTCAGAGAGTGCAGCGCTGATTCCAGGAAGAGGAGACAGTAAGAGCTTATTGATTCTGTCTGAGTGTGTGCGTGTGCGTGTGCGTGTGTGTGTGTGTGCGTGTGTGTGTGTGTGTGTGTGTGTGTGTGCAGTTAGCTAATAGCTTCATGTGAGTAACTGCCTGAGCACCAGATGCTCCCCCACACTGTGGATCAGGAGATCATTAATATAATCAGGTTTTATTCCTATTTTAGGGTCCATGCAAACTGCATTTTTAAAATTAAACTTAAATTGTATTTTTAATTAGATTTGCATTTACGGATATGTTTACCGTCTGCAAGCTAATGCGGTGGTGACGTGAAGTCATGTGACCGTGCTGTAGTTCCTTTATAGCCCAACATTAGCCATCTTTAGCTTAGCGGTGGTGACGTGAAGTCATGTGACCGTGCTGTAGTTCCTTTATAGCCCAACATTAGCCTCCTTTAGCTTAGCGGTGGTGACGTGAAGTCATGTGACCGTACTGTAGTTCCTTTATAGCCCAACATTAGCCACCTTTAGCTTAGCGGTGGTGACGTGAAGTCATGTGACCGTGCTGTAGTTCCTTTATAGCCCAACATTAGCCACCTTTAGCTTAGCGGTGGTGACGTGAAGTCATGTGACCGTGCTGTAGTTCCTTTATAGCCCAACATTAGCCACCTTTAGCTTAGCGGTGGTGACGTGAAGTCATGTGACCGTGCTGTAGTTCCTTTATAGCCCAACATTAGCCTCCTTTAACTTAGCGGTGGTGACGTGAAGTCATGTGACCGTGCTGTAGTTCCTTTATAGCCCAACATTAGCCACCTTTAGCTTAGCGGTGGTGACGTGAAGTCATGTGACTGTACTGTAGTTCCTTTATAGCCCAACATTAGCCACCTTTAGCTTAGCGGTGGTGACGTGAAGTCATGTGACCGTGCTGTAGTTCCTTTATAGCCCAACATTAGCCACCTTTAGCTTAGCGGTGGTGACGTGAAGTCATGTGACCGTGCTGTAGTTCCTTTATAGCCCAACATTAGCCGCCTTTAGCTTAGCGGTGGTGACGTGAAGTCATGTGACCGTGCTGTAGTTCCTTTATAGCCCAACATTAGCCTCCTTTAGCTTAGCGGTGGTGACGTGAAGTCATGTGACCGTGCTGTAGTTCCTTTATAGCCCAACATTAGCCTCCTTTAGCTTAGCGGTGGTGACGTGAAGTCATGTGACCGTGCTGTAGTTCCTTTATAGCCCAACATTAGCCTCCTTTAGTTTTTGACATAAGAATGTTTTTTAATCACTACTAAAGTTTTATGTCAGTGTCAGATTCTGAGTGTTTCTTATCTTCAGTTGTATTTTTATTTTCTTCTACTTTCTGGTTCAATTTTGAGTCTTAATTTCAACTCTAATTTTAAAACTACAAATGATTTGTAGTCCAGTTATTGTGGGGTTTTTCCCGCTCTTTTCCTCAGAGCGGCAGCTTGGGGTGGAGCAGCACCTGCTGGGGGCGGAGCTTAATGACCAGCTTAGCCCAATCACAGCGCAGCTCTATGCCACCTCCCTGTGGGCCAATCACAATGGGCCAGAGGAAGCCAATGGGAATGAAGCCAGTCTGCTCTTAGCCAATCAGGAGAGAGGAGTGGCAGAGAGCAACAGTTCAGGCGGTAATCTGTTGCTAAGGCAGAAAATATACACAACAACACAGCAGTGTACCACAAATACATATATAAATATAAATACAAATACAAACAGTATATAAATATAAATACTAATATATAATACTTTTTCTGTCAAATAAACAGTACTGTTACAAAAAAAGTAGGTATTTAAAGTGTTTTTTAAAAGCCATTAAGTATTTTTTAAATGGTATTTTAAGAATTATTTGGTCAAGGTTTCTCTCAAAAATAAAATAAGAATAAGATAAATGGAAATAAAACAAAACAACACGACAGGTAACAATAACATGGAACTGTTTATAAAAAAAAACTAACATATTTCATAGTATTTGGGGGTATACAAACACACATATAAACACCAAATAAACGCACACTAGTGTTCAATTTATTGACAAAATTGTACTTACCCACTAACCACCACCATATTTTTGGGATCTCCACAAAATGTAGCTAATATGAGCATTTAATCTCAATGATATTTCAATAAGCCAAAATGTGACAATAACGAAATAGCAGTAGGCACAGTTTGCCTAATAGAAAGGTTAAATCACCAGCTGTTTGCTTCACATTTGCCCTTATACAACTTGGTTAAACTGTATTAATCAATACATATTATATCAAATGAATGCCACTTTAAGGACATTTTAAGTCTCTACAAATACCTAGAATGCTGACTTGGTTACTCTTAGAAACCCTTGCAAGTCACTAATACTCAGACAAAGAGACAGAGTTAAAACATCTAACAGCTTGATATTTAAAGCTAATGAGATATAATATTAAACTTAAATCCTGCAGATAAATTAAAAACATTAAAAACAATTAATGATAATGTTGATTATAATGTCTGCAGGCTGTGTAAAGGGCAGCTGTCGTTAAACATATTACCTTTATTAATCTGTTTGTGATGTTTTTACTGCCATCTAGTGGCCAACAAATAATAAAAGCAGCTTTTAATAGCATGCATTTATCCATAGTGTGTAAAGTGAACAGTAGAAATGAACATTAACACCGACACACACTCTGTCACTAATCTGTTCACATCTCCTTAATAACAGTCTATAATCTCTTCATTTCTTGACGACTAACATCACTAACTACTCTTTTTCTTCTTCTCTCTCTTGTGCATGATCTTTTATTTCCCATCATCCTCTTTTCCCCTCCTTCTCAGATTTGTCATGTGACCACAAACAGGAAGCAGCCAGTCCCGACTCCGTCTCCCGATAACCGACTTTCGTCTCTTATCGTTTCCCCTGTAACGTCTGATAACACTAACACTGTATTTAGATTTAGAAACAGCTCGTGCACACTCACACACACGTAGAGATGTTAGGTCATTGTAGTCCACTAAACCAGTCTCAATTGAAATCACTGTAGGTATGCCAAGGTTTTGCTTGTGTAGAAATGGCTGTGAATAAAGATGTGTTATATTAAACATCTGCTGAATGTCTGAGTGCTCTTTATCCTCCAGAGAAAGTCTTTTAAAACTCTAACATTTGAAGGTATTTTAAGTAATTTCTATCGATTTTTTAGACTTCTGTAAAACTGTTTTAAATGTTATATTTCAAAATGTTATTCATGTCACTGATATGGCTTCCAAGATCTCTCCTTAATATTTGAACTTATTTACATTTTTCCTTATTTGTCCACAAAACTAGGCTGTGTTTTTTACTTTATTCGTTTTTTTTACGAATAAAAATGCATCTTAATTGATTTCTTTGTATTTAAAGTGGACCTATCATGCTATATTTGAATAATATAGTGTAGGACCATACCTATATAAGCCATATTTATACTTTTTTTTTTTCAAAATACCAAACAGATCATGCATTTGAGCCATGCCTCATTTCGCTCAATTTGACAATTTCTAGCTCTGGGCAGATTCAGTGAGAACAGCACCACCTACAGGCCTGGCATATGTACTACAACGTCTCCAGCGCTTTCGAACGGCAATGGCCGTGGCTGTCTCCTCCTGATTGGTGGAGTTGGCCCAATAGCCGTAGCGCCACTGTCCTGACGTCAGGACAGTGTTCAAATCTGGATCAGTTTTTATCAGATCCGTTGCAGCCCCTTTTTTAGAGATTTGGGTATGGAGGAAAATAGAGAGGGTTGTGTTTTCTGACACTTGGTGAGTTCCCTGGAACACCGGGGACACATATTCATGTAGAAAAGACGTACAAAGGTGCATTTTGCATGATAGGTCCCCTTTAAATTACGACCCGAGTCATAGTGCAGTGTCAATAATACATGGTATTTATATAGTTATTGGTAATATATAATATATATAGTTATATGGTAATTAGAGCTTAGAGGCAACTTGTTCAGCATCTTTGAACATAAAAAGGATACGTTAGTTAACATCATCACAAACTGTAAATACAGTGAACAACAGTGGTCCCAGAACAGAGCCTTGTGGAACGCCCAATGGTGCAGTTGAAGCATTTCTGTCACTTAGAGGCTTATAGCACACACACAAAAAACGGTATGATCTTTTGCTCAGATAGATATATTGTTTAAATGAGGAACGTTTATCCATTCATTTAGAAAATTAATTCCCAGAAAGTAGTAAAACTAACAGAATCAAGCCCTTCTTCATGGTATTTATATAATGCTTTTCCTGGTGGTAATTAGAGCTTAGAGGCAAATTGTTCAGCATCTTTGACATACAAATGATACGTTAGTAAACATCATCACAAACTGTATATAGTGAAAAACAGTGGTCCCAGAACAGAGCCTTGTGGAACGCCCAATTCCGCAGTTTTTTCTGTCGATTGGCACACAACAAAACGGTAAGACCTTTTGCTCAGATAGATATATAGTTTGAAAGAGGAACGTTTATCCATTCATTTTGAAAATTAATTCCCGGAAAGTAGTAAAACTAACAGAATCAAGCCCTTATTGACCTTGGGAATCTGCCCACATCAGAACAGAGAGTATTAAAAATGTTTTTGTTTTTTTAATGTAGGCCCTACTGGAGTTAGGATTTATTTCGGTGTAATGTCCTATTCGGTTATTGGATGGCTAGAAAGACCTGTCATCAGAGTGGCTGTTAAGGCCCGGACACACCAACCCGATTTTGGCCGTCGATGAGCGTCCTGTCGCCCTACTCAGATTGGTGTGTCCCGCACCGTCGTGTCTTTTTGGCCGTGCCGACACCTTCCACCGCCGATTCGACATGTTGAATCGAGAGGCTGTCGGCTAAAGGCAGTCGGCAAAAGAAATCACTCTGATTGGCTGTTCGGCTAGCGAATCAGTGCATGAGAAGCGAAACGGAAGTGAGGGACCCAAACAAACTATTAAGAAGGCACATCTGAGATTTCATTTAACTCCAGCTCTCGACACAGGTTGGGGAAAGCCCCGTGAGCTTCTCGCTGTAGAGTGAAAATGGAACACACACGCTATTTGTTGTTTGTTTATATCACGCAGTCTGTTCTTCTTCTCTCGGTGTATCACGCAGTCTGTCTTCCGGTTGCCTCTTTTGAATGACGAATACACACTACCACCGCCTGCTGGTAAGGAGAGTTATTGCCACTCACGCATTCGCAGTTCGTACGTGCTACTTGTCCGTCGGCTGAAGTCTTTGCGGTGTGTTCCAGTGCGACACATGACCAAGACGCAGGAGACACAACAGTTGGGTCCGTCGGGACGTGTTCTTTGGTGTCAGTTTGGTGTGTAGGCCCCTTAACTTGCTCTGCTCAACCTCCCACCGCAAAAATTGACTCAGTAGTGCCCCCTGCTGGTGTGGAGAATTACTCAGGACATTTGTGAGAAAATCCTCAGCACCAACCACCGTGGGATATTAGTATACTTGTAAGATCTATGCTGTATTTGTTTCTGAAACATGTTTTGTTTGAAACATGTAATGTGTTTGTTTGGTAGATGCATTAGTTTGTAGATGGTGTTTTGTATTTGTAAACCACGCTGTGTTTGTTACTCGTACGGCGTCTGTAAAACATGTTTAGTTTGTTTGGTGACTTATGGCAGGTAAATAGCTCCATGTTAACCAAATGAGGTAGAAATTAGCTCCATAGTATGTTAACCAAATGAGGTAGAAAAGAGCGAGGTAACTATTTATTATCATGAATTTGACTCATATTTGTGTGCAGGTAATCTGAAGAGTGCAGTACCGGAGGAGGACGAGGAGGCGATGAATCCTCACTGAAGGATTCTCCGGACGAAAGGGAAGCAGCTTCAAGAAAACACACATCCATCATCGGGAGAGTTCAGAGACAGACGTTCAGGTTTAAATTCAACAGGAGGAGAAACGAGTGGAAACGGCTTCACTCGTTATGAACTGGACACGAATCCCATTCACTTCAATGTGACTGACACTAAAATATAAATATATGCTTTAGTTTGATAATTACTTTAGAAGTTGGATTTCCCCTTTAACCCGAGCAGCAGATAATAACACACTTCCTTTACGACAGTTAGCCTCAAACAGCCGACATTTTAACTCTTTTGGTGGGAAAATCACAAATGATGGACTTGTGCAGTAAAACAACAAATCTCTGGGTCATATTAGTTGTTATTTCAAAGTTATTGAATGTAGATAGAAGAATCTGTATGTGTTCAAATGTATATTTGGTCTGCTTGCTAGCTAGCTACTTCAGTGTAGCTCAGATTGCTAACTAAAAACGGTTGCTACACCTGCCAGCTAGTTAGCTAAAACAAACAGCTAAAGCAATTAGCATGTAGCATGATGTAGCTACTTCTCTATCACCATAAGTATCTGATTCCGCAAAAGCCACATTAAACACAAACAATAACAATCTTAATAGCAACAGTTAAACAATATAAGTCTAGATAAGTGTTAGCTTGCTAGCTAATTAACTCGTCTGTTTAAATAACGTGTAACCATTTAATCATTTGGTTTGTTTGCATCCAAAAATGCTTTAAATGTCCACTGTGTGATTATGAATGATTACACATAGTAATAAAATGTACTGTATTTCAATACTATAACCCTATAATCACAGGTGTTATTTTTATATTTGGGTAACTCTGCTGGACTTTAAGAATCCTAACAAAACGAAATAAAAGCAATAAATATAACCTTCAAACGTCATTAATGTCCATTCTGATGTATTTACTTGGTAAAAGTAGGTAATTATGGCCCTAATTACTTTGCATAAATACAGCCATTATAATGTTAATGTCTTTTTACATGAATTAAAAAGTCTTCTGTGAAAATGGCCGGTTTCTTTGAGCTTTTCATGATACTTGTTCCCACTATCTGGTATCTCTTAATATTGTTAGGCTGCTTTTACAGAAACTGCAAAGAGATAAATCAGTTTACAGTTGAACTGAAAGGATTTGGTGATAAATCAGATGACTTTAATGCATGTCTGTCGATCAGCTCCGATCCACTTTGGTTTCATATTTTTTATTCTGTAAATCTGTAATGCAATGTTTCCTGTTTGTCAATAACAGCAATAAAATCTCCTGTTAACGTGCTTTATTATGGCGCCTCCTGGTGGCTTCTGTAGGACATGGTTTTTATATTTCTCAGAAAATGCAGTAAGAAATCAGTTACAGATTCCATCAAATGGAAACTAATACCATCACATATAGAGTTATTGATGAAGCAATAGGCATTTAGTTTAAGCTGAAAAAATAACTGTTTGTCAGGTTTTCTTTGAAGAATTTGATCATTTATTCTGCAATAATCGACTTTTATCAATTAAGGGATTGCTTAATTCAAATTATAAACCCAACAAGGTCTACTATTCATAGTATTTAAATCACAGTTTCTATACGTTTTGGTTTGTTTTAAGTGATTTACAGGTACGTCTAAAAGGGTGTACACTTACAAAACTTACCTGATTGCAGCAATTATAAAAAAAAATACATTTGAATTAAAAGTAAACTTTCCAGATGTTCTCGTCTCAGGAAGCTCTTCAGACTCTGGAAAGTGTATTTTTATTTATTTAAAGTCACAGAGTGCAATTAAGGACCAAATAAAAAGGTGTTAAATAAAACCCTAACCAATCAGAGAGCAGCATGTGTCCAGAGGTCTGCTGTGTGATTCAGAAACACAGCAGAAATAATAATGTACAGTACAGACGTGTGTTTTATTAGTTTAATGTTTTCCTGCTTTCTGGTTAAATGTTAAATGTGTCTGTTGTCGGGCAGATCAGTCTGAGCTTTAGGAAGACCGCTTGTTAAGGTTTAATTGACCAACAAATACAAAATAAATCAGACTCTGAAATCATTTCCTGTCAATGATCTGCTTTGACTTTTTAAACGTATATAGTATAACTCATCACATGTTACACAACAACCTTTTGAGCCAACTTTACTCCAGTTATACACTTCTTTTTGGAATTTGTGGTCTAATTTACACAAAATGTAACTTGTTTTTCTTTGTAAAATAAGGCAAAAATGCTCAAAGTTTTGGACTATAGTTAAAAATTGAGGAATAAATGTATTCATTACATGGTTTAGTTGAATTCTCGATTCTGATTGGTCAATTCAGAACACGTGACACGTTGTTAATCCAGTAGTACAGACCGCCGTCAAGGATTTACTGACCGTTGTTAAGGACGCTCACATCTGCAGAAAGAAGTCCGGTCGATTGAACTGGGCCAAGGAAACAGCGGAGAAGTAACGGGGCAGAAACCCTCCTTTTTACGCAGCGGTCCACAGACATCAGACGGCAAAACATATTCAGTGTGCAGTTCCTTTGACATTAGGGCAGGGATATCTAGATCCTTTCCAAGGTTTGACCTAATGAATTGTGCTACTTTTAAAGCAAGCAACGATGTTTTCAAATCTGTAATCAAAAAGGTCCGCAAAAACGCTATCGAAGCAGTTCCTGCCGTTGCTACGTAGTTCAAACGGGAACAACGGACTATTTTTGTTAGCGGATGCACGTCATTTTAAATCAATAATAGCCTACTATTTTTTAAATCAATAAAAACATTTTCTAAATCTATAAAAGCATTTCAATTAATATTGGGAGTCATGTCGTTACTTAGTTGAGAGTGTGGCCTTGTAATAAGCTGGGATAATGTGCAGCGACTTGGTCATTATGGAGAACACCCTTCATGCTGATCAAGTCGCTGCACATTATCCCTTACATAATGTATAATGACAGAATGGTAAATGTCAGAAATTGAATAAAGATTGACGACAGACGCCTTAAATGTAATAAAAAAACATAATTCAATAAAAGTAGTGCTCATTTATTTTTCTTGAAAAGAACGTAATATGGGATTTCTGACATTAAACATATATAAAAAATGTGTCAAATGTCACCAAACAAAGACGCGGTTTAGTCCAAGTTTATACCGAGTTTAAATTGAAGGAACGTGTTTAAACCAGCGCCATATCGATAGAATATGTCTATCTCTCTATATGGCGCTGGTTTAAGCCACATGGAAATAGATGGAGTGTTTGAAATAACAAATAAAGAACACCATGATGCTAAAAGAGAGCTAAACGTTGCAGACGATCAATGGCAGAATATGCTTGACTTAATACATACCGGTTCCCAATGTGCTAGGCATAGATTGATACAACTCAAAATTGTTCTGAGAGTGCACTTTACCAAAGCAAGGCTGGCGAAGCTGTTCCCTGACCTAGACCCTTCATGCCCTCGCTGTAACAGCCAACCAGCAGATCACATTCACATGTTCTGGTCTGGTCCCAACCTCAGCTCATTTTGGGGAAACATATTCCTTGCATACTCCAAGATTTTTCAAAAAGACATCACACCCAATCCTGTATGTGCTTTATTTGGCCTCGCCCCTGAAACCGGCAACCTTAAAGGCAAAACTCAGGCAGTCGTAGCATTTACCTCCTTGGTTGCCAGGCGCCTGATTCTCCGGTCCTGGAAGGAGCAAGCACCTCCCATTGGCTAGATAAGAGACACTATGCACTTCCTTCAACTTGAGAAAATCTGGTACACTCTAAAAGGCTCTGTGCAGAAGTTTACAAAGATTTGGAACCCCTTCCTAAATGATTACGATACAGATCCCCCTAAACCAGGATGACTAGAGCAACAGTTTGTGAACGCAGCAGGACCCCAGACATCTCAATAAAAACTGTTAAACAAAAAAAAGCAAGCTAAGCGCTAACGGTAATCAACAGAGAACCCAAACAGGAAGTTATATATTAAACATTTATTGTTCGTCTTATTGCAGCTGCAGTTTGTGAGACGTTCACAGATCGATTAGGAGGTGGAGTTTTAGTTTAAATGTTCAAATAAAAAAACTGGACACAGAAAATCCAAATATCATTTCTTTGCAGAATTTGAAGGATTTCTTTCAAACAGATGGTTTTAATAAATGATATTTCTGCAGTATGTTTTATATTGTTCCCGCTGTACATGTATCATCCAGAAAGAGAAAGGAACTCCACGCATTAAGACCCCAGCACGCCCACGCCTGGACCCCCGCACGCCCACGCCTGGACCCCCAGCACGCCCACGCCTGGACCCCCAGCACGCCCACGCCTGACCCCCAGCACCCCCGCACGCCCACGCCTGGACCCCCCGCACGCCCACGCCTGGACCCCCCGCACGCCCACGCCTGGACCCAGCACGCCCGGACCCCCAGCACGCCCACGCCTGGACCCCCCCCACGCCCACGCCTGACCCCCGCCTGAACCCCCGCACGCCCACGGCTGACCCCCAGCACGCCCACGCCTGGACCCCCAGCACGCCCACGCCTGGACCCCCGCCTGAACCCCCGCACGCCCACGGCTGACCCCCAGCAGCCACCGCCCCGCTGAACCCCCAGCACGCCCACCTGACCCCCTAGACGCCCACGCCTGGACCCCC